CTTTTTCATTTCCCTTTAAATGAGCTCGCTGGCTGGGCCCTGAACAATATGGCCATGGTCATCCTATGCTTCATGCTTCCTACTTTTATCACTGCTTTAGCTTTTTTGCCCATTCTACATCCTGTGCCTCAAACTATCACTTTTTTTTCCCCATCGCCATTGGCACTTTCTTTTCTTTACTCAGTAGCTGCATTCTGGTTCTTCTATTTCTTCCTGCCTCATTTTTGGTAGGGAGGAATGACCTTCACTCAATAACACCCAAAAAAAAAATATGAAAAATATGCTTCAGCTTCACAACAGTCCTGAGTAATCCTCAACCGGCCTGAGACAGGCTTTGGGAAGCTCTCTTGTCCGTACTGTGCCCTCGGAGAGCTTCTCTCCTGTGCCATGCTCTCCGTCTGCAAGCAAAGCCGAAACGTGTCTGTCCTGTGAAGTGCCAAGAGCCACAGTTCCCCTTGAGTCAAACCAGGACGGTGAGTCACGTCTCGGTAACCGCTTCCCCAGATCTGCTGCACGTAGCAGAGCATCACTGAATGTGGGGGAAGTTTGGGTCTGGATTTTAACACTGTTTGTCGTTTGGCTCCATTTGGGGCATATCTCTCTGCAGTTCATTCAACTTCCTTATTTTGTTTTTCTGGATGCTGTTGTCGTAACATAGATTTCAACTGTTGGTGTCTTGAGAATTTAAAGCCGGGCTGCTCATCTATTTGCTCCCAATAAACGTCGCTGCTGTGCTGTGCAAGCGACCTGACTTTGCTGCCAAGGCCATCAGCGGCTGAAAGCCTCTTTTTTCCTTAAAAATTAGTCAATTTGCATTGGAAAATAAACCATCCAGCTTTTCCTTTAGGGGGAATATCTAAGGCCATACTAAAAAAACCTCATAAAATTGAAGCTGCCTTACTGAAGCTGCCAATGAAATTTTAAACATGCTAGACCTAAGATGACTTTTTTTTTTTTTTTTGCTTTACTTGGATATTTTGGCATACTTGAAGGCATGTGACTTTTTGTAAAACTGCTGCTTTCCACAGTCCTTGGTCACAACTACTGTCATCTTCTGGAGGTACTGATATGCTTCTCTAGTGAAGAGTGCAGTATATAAAGAGAAATCACCATTTAAAAATAATCCTGCTCACAGAAGAAGCTTGGAAAGAAGATTTGTTTTCTCAGCAAACCAGTAACCCAAAGCATACAACACAAAATGTGTACAAACCCCGAGAATAAAAGCATCAAGTGTTTAATGCCTTGGCACACTAACCCAATTGATTTGAATCCAGCAAAAAGAACTTGGAATTAATTATTCTTATGTATAGGCTTTTGTACATTCTCTGCCCCTCATTGCTGTCCCTGGTAAAGAGAGTAGAAACCCTAGGAACTTCACACCGCGGTGAAAGAGGTACCAAAAGATGCTACATTCCTGATGTACTTTGGAGATCCTGGATAAAGTTACAATCTTATTGAATTTTATTTTTATTCTTTTCCCCCCGCTCCCTCTTCTGGCCCCGTTTTTTCCATCCCTGGACAGATGAGTCAGAAGAATGCAGAGAAAAAGGATCTGACCTCTTTTGAAGGCTACCAAAGTTGTTGCTGGGCTTGTTATTGCCTGTGTAACGTGTGGCATGTGACAGTGTGGTGATCTCAGGGAACTGTGCAAACCACTGCGTATGTGCCCTGTGAACATCTGGGATTGCAACAAACAGCAACCACATCTGGAACATCGCAAGTAGAGATATCACATATCTGGGAACCCCAGACAAGTGTTGAACTGCCTCTAAATTCATCTGGGCAAAATTCCTGCGCAGTTGGAGAAAGCACATCCAGGAAAATCGGACATATGGTAGGCTCCCCGCTCACCAGCAGAGCTCTGCTGGCCAAAGTCCTAGAAAGCATGCTGGTAGAGCACAGAAGTATCCTTTGCTGATAGAGCTTACTCCGTTCGAGGAGGTGACTCAAGATCCAAGCCATGTCTCTGCTGACGGTGTCACCAGCACGGTCTGACCTGTTTATTTATACCGGCAAAGTTTTAACCAGCAGACAAGAGCTAAGAACCGTGAGGGAGGCTCAAAGGGAGATCTCCGTGGTTTGCTGCAAGCGACAGCTGGTCTCACTATCAGACAAGAGTTGGACACTGCCAATTTTTTTTTACCCAGCAATGAAGAAGGGGCCGCACCCCAGCTGGAGGACCAAGGAGAGCCTTGTGGAGTAGATGAACATCCCTTCTCAATGAGGCCAATGCATCATAAGGGGAAAAGCTGGTACAGGGAGCCTATATCTGTGTTCAGACTCCACCAAAAGGGAAAGACAAGCTGAAGGAAACCAGAGGAAGTTGAGACCTTGTTTGAACATGGCAGAGTCTTCTGTGGATCAAGTTGATTTTTGTCGAGCAGGGCTCGGACTGTCAAAGTTGGGTTTACGTTTTTGTTTTTTCCCCTCTCCCAGATGACTCCAACCCTATATCTGTACTTGATGATTATGGGTACAAGCGTGAACTTGAATTGGTGGCAGATTTTAGGAGCAGTGTGGAAACTTTGTTTCTCGGATGGGAAGATTTAAGGCCTGTCTTCTTGAAAAGCAAAGACAATTCCCCGCACAGGCTAGAAGCAAGTTTCAGTCATTGCTTCCACGGGAGATGTATCCAGATGGGGGGAACCAGGCTGTACTTCAAATTCTTCTGAAGTAGCTGTGAGATCCTCGTGACCTCCCCTGTGAACGGGGTCCACCCCCCCTGCACAGTGGTAAAAGGGTAGAACTCATCCATGCACCGGTGTCTGCGTTTTGTACAGTCAGTGTAATGCACCCTCATCCTGGGCATGGAACCCCAACATGGAAGTATTTGTTTCAAGAGCTGTTACAGCACAGCAATTCAGGAGCACATCTGAGTGTGCAAAATGACTCTGCTGGAGAAGATCAAGGGCTTGGCCATCACTGGGGCCAGGAACAGATTTAGCTTAAAACAGGCTTTCTCCCATTTGCAAGAAACATCTATTGTCTGTGCTTCCAAAAGATCTTAGGATATAGTTCATGGAGACTGATGGAAAAACACTATGCAACTAATTAGAAATCTCAGTTGTGTCTTTATTCGTTCACATCTTGTTTTGACAGTAAACTTTTGTGAGTGATTCCACTATTCACTCTCCAAATTTTCAAGCCACTAAGCATCACGATATTGCTGCAGAACAGGGTCTGTGAGCGTCATTGCTGCTTCACCACACGCAACACGACCGACACGTGAGGAAGTTGAGGGACCTGGTACGAGGTCCAGTGGTGAGCTGGCTGCACAGCTGGATGGGGATGGCCATTTCCCAGGCTGACGCTTTCATTAGTGAGGATTTCTCTTTACTCCTGTCGAAAGTGTAAATCACGTGGGTGACGCTTGGAGACTTGGCACCCACAATTCACCGTGTGTTGCAGCTGCTCAGCCTCTGTGGGAAAATAATTCCAAAAGTGATCTCTTGGAAAGTTGCAGCAAAAAATAGCAAACAAAAATCCTGAGCAGTATGAAAGAGAGAACAGAACAGGACTTAGGTACTCCTCGGCAGGGACCTGTCCTTTGGGAAGCGCTAATAGAGTTGGCAAGGTGGGCTCTCGAAGTGTTTGACTGAGGTAAAATGGAGCTATTGCCTTTGCAGAGGTGAAGAACTGCCACAATTCTTTAGGGCTAGAATAAGTCCGAATTGCTCCTTTGTGGTAAGAGCAGGCACTCACGAGGCCCGTGTTTCAGCTCAGAGTGAAACCCCCCGATACAGCTAGCTTTATAAGTTGCTTTTGTTTAGCTGAGACCGCAACGGTGGTGAAGATTATACCTTCTTAACTGGGAGGCGGGAGAGCAGAGGGAGAGATGCCGTGCTGGTGTGTAGATGCTGTTGAAAAGTTTGTGCCATTGCCAAAAAGCATGAGTTATTTTCTTCAGTGATGCTTTTGCTTCTTTCTGTCAAATCCCAAACATGTTGTCTGCCTTTCAGCCAACGGGGTCAAACACTGAAAAAATGAACTCCCTGGGCTCCCTAAGGAGAATGTACTATACTTAGTTGCTCATCACAGCTAATTTCTGCTGCGTGCGTGCAAGGAGGGGCGGCAGGTTCTGCAGCCTGCGAGGCACCCATGCTGGGTGCACAAAGCAGGTCAGCCTCTCAGTGCTGTGGCTCCCGCCTGAAGCTTTGCATCCTACTGCATTTCTAGTTGCCTGATCGATATATTGTGATTTCCCTGTGCTGTGCGTTGCAGTAATAATAACACAAACTGAGGGAACGTTTTTGCACTGTGAGCAGAAAGCTGTGCACGTAGACAGAAAATTAAACCACTGCCTGTTTTTACAAGGTAAAAATAAGAGCTGCTTGTTGAGGCAATGGTTCCACTGCCAGTATCCTAAAACCATGTAAAAAGTATTGATATCCAATTCCGTGCCATAGTTGATGGTGAAAGATACAACTCTGTCCGTAAAGCAGTGGCACACAGATGGCAGCTCTGTCTGCAGACCAGAGGAAACATGTTGTGGGGGCCAGGGTAAACGTTTTTTCCACATTTCAGCCCTTTTTGTAGCAGTGGCTGTGTAGGTACAATTTTTCCGTTCAGTGGGTGCTGCCTTCAAGGAGTGCTTCTGAGATCCCTTTTTTGCATCCTTGAGGACAGATGGATACATCAGATGGCAGTTTTCCATCACCTGCCTGTCTTTGACATGTGATCTGGAGATTAAAAATACCACCTTTCAGCCGTGTTGGCCTATAGTCACCCAGGCGCAGAGATTTTTCCACCTTTAAGCAATGAGGTTTCCTTCTCCTCCATGTGTTGGAGCGGCTCAAGAACAAACTCAGCCATACTCCGACTGTGGTACCTGTGTATCGTAGACTTCCTAGACTCCTTGTTGGCTCCCATGGGAATAGGATAGGATGGGATGGGGGAGGACGCTGTCAGGGTTGAGTATACCAGGGAAGTGGCCTGGGAGTGGCTGGTTGGGGTGGGACTTCTTTGCTTTCCCGTTCCAACAGCTCTTTTTGCTCTCCTAGGGACCAGAAGGGAAACCAGGAAAACAGGGGGAAAAGGGCAAGCCTGGCCAGAAGGTAGGAACATCTCCCAGTGACAATGTCTCCTCCTCTGGATCTCCCTTTCTTTGCTCATCTTTGATATTTATCTATAGAAGCAGTTTTGGCCTACGTTAATGTTGGCGCTTTTGTTCTGCAGGGCAGCAAGGGCTACCAGGGGCAGCTCGGCGAGACAGGATCTCCAGGGAAGGAGGGGCCAAAGGGGAACCAAGGCCCTAAAGGATCCCGAGGTACCCTGGGACCTATGGTGAGAAGAGCTCTGCGAATGCTCGAACACAACACGCAGAAACATGACTAGCAGTGGTGGGCATAGGCCAGAATGAAGCAGAGAGCCCAGCAGAGGCTTCAGAGCACAGAAAGTGGAATTACGTTAGATGGGTTTAATTGACCAAACCAGCTTAATGAGCAGCACAGGAGAGACGCCACAGTGGTGGTTGTGTTGGTGCCCCGTGAACCCAGCTCACGCTGCATCATGACAGTTCTTCGCAACTCCCCAGATGGGTTTAAATATTGGGGAATTTTCTTGAGAAGGAAGTGAGCTGATAAGCTATTTTTTGCTAAGATCTTTCCCTTTGAGACCGCACACTCATGGCAAGAGCTGCTTCCAAGTCAAACTGTGTTGTTATAAGGAACTCTCCCTTGGACTTCTGCCCTGTTTCTACACCCACTCTTGATCTACTTATCTAAAACACTTGCAGCAAGAAGAAAGACAGCATGGGAAAGGGTTTGAGTTGGGGACTGAAGGTGAGGCTTTCAGAGAGAACAACAGTAGTATGGTGGAGAGGGAAGAAAGTTAATTTGCTTTAGGCACATGAGACAAATGCATTGGGACAGCAGTGGTAAGTAAGAAATATCTCCTCATGCCTTGCAGGCTGGTAAGGAAACTTCTTGCACTATATTTGGTAGAACTTAGTGAAAAAAGCAGGAGTTATTTATGAACCAGGAATCATGGTGATGTTTCAGGACAGTAGCAAATGAGTGATGGAGTAATGGTTCTGCTGATAGTGTTTTCCCGCACTAAAAATTATGGCCTCACCATATATCCTCGATTCATGTTCTTTGGCAAAGCCTCCATGGATTATTTCACAAAGAGGCAAAGCAATAACTGAGCAGCAGTCTATTGGACTGAACACATCTCTGTCTTGTGGAAAGGACCTTCTTCCACACTGAACGGGATTATATGGGAAGTTTGCAATTCACTTTAATCTGATGATCTGATTTTAAACCCTTTTGTTCAGTCTGCTAAGGATGCAATAAACAGCTCTTGCAGTGCCCTCATCACAACCCAGAAAACTCCTTTATTGGCCTCAGAACCCACATCAAAAGGTTTCCTCCCAACAGTTTAGGATTAGGTCATGCATGAGAATGATCTTGCTGGTAGACTTCCTAGCACAAAGCTAATTTAGATATGAAGATGTCCAGAAGGGCAGATGAAGAGCACACGCTATGCAGCCATTTCTGGTATTAAATCTGAATGAGGTGAGGAACCTCTTTGCTACAGGCTGGCAAAGACATAAAATGGACTCCTTAGCATCACTCTCCATGTAAGAGGTTAAAGCCAAGCAAGAGCATTTCAGATGGCTGCAGCAAAGCTCACCAGTGGCCAGGAGTACGGGTGGCCGCACTCCCGTGTGGTGCTGAGCTTTGCTTTTCATAGCCCGGTGCATCCTCTTCTTGTTGGGTAATACCCACAGGCTACTCTCATGGTGCTTTCTGTGCTTGCCTCTCCAGGGTGCTCCAGGAAGGATGGGTGCTCAAGGGGAACCTGGCTTAAAAGGTTACCAGGTAAGGACTTTATTTTCATCCTCCAACTTCTGTCTGTTCTCAGATGCAACAAAACTGCCACTTCAGGATACAAAATTGTTCTTAAACTATGATTCGTTTCTGATCTCAACTTCAGTTTAGTTGTTTCTCTAGTCTCTATCTGCACCACCATGACTTCTCCAGATGCATTTGGTTCATCTCTGCCATGACTCATGTGTCCCTCCGAAGCTGGGATGCACAACACAGGGCTTTTGAATTCTGGCAGGAAACCAGGGAGGACCTTCAGTCAAACAGCTCTTTCCTGTCTCACAGGGACATGCAGGACCACCGGGGCCAATTGGACCACCAGGGCCAAAGGGGGAAAAGGTAAGCTGGCAGAGTTTGGCCATCTTGTCTTCCATCGGCGTGGAAGCTGAGCTGACGTAGAGATGATTGCCCCACTGCCATAACACCCATGCGTCTGCGCCAGAGGTGCCTCCTCTTACGGCACAGCCACCTACGTAGCTCCTGCTGCAGCTTTACTTCTGCAAGTCAGCGCTGGGACAGCCCTGCCGCGGGGCCCCCCCTGCCACTAGCACATGCTTTCCAGACACCACGTGCCCTTGTGCCAGTGGCTGAGCCAGCCGGCATGTGTTCTGGGGACACGTTTTTCCTGCATCCGCAGAAATTCTGCTGAATCCCCAAGCCGAAAGAAACGGGGCTAGTAGCTTTCTGTGATCAAGCCAGAATAACACCCTGCACAACTAGCTGATCTTCAGCAAGCTGCCCACCTGCGCTTAAATCAGCCAATAGCATGTTGTAAGCAAGGCAGAATTGGTCTCCTCTCCATCGCCCTTGCTCCAATTTCCTCATCGCCTGCCACCCTCTTACCTCTCTTTGTCCCCCCACCCCTCGGCGAGCCCCCTTGCCGCAGCCGGCCTGAGTCAGAGCCCTCTTTCCACGGCGGCTTTCCCCTTGTGTTTTTCCTTTTGCTGAGTCAGCATGGCCGTAACCAGTTCGGGCTGGCGA